TAAATCACGGTAATCAAACAAGGGTAAAACTGTTAGAGAACAAAGCTCTGCTGTCGATCCTGACAAAGACAAGAATGAGAGCAAAGAAGAGAAGAAAGAAATATCACAGCGCTCGACTATAATCCTGTTGATCTGAAACAGAGAACACACACACACACACACACCCGGCCTCATGAGTGCATGACTTGAAGCTGCTGGATCTGTGTGTGTGTGTGAGTGTGTGTGTGTGTGTGTGTGTGTGTGTGAGAGAGTGAGTGAGTGAGTGAGTGAGTGTGTGTGTGTGTGTGTGTGAGGATGAAGAGTAAAGAGTGTTCAGATAGATGGAGAGTATGGAGGGAAGTGTGGAGCTGATCCTCTCGGCACCATCTGTGCTGCACACGCTCAGATCTGACGCGCTTTCTTCTGCCATCGCTATGGCAACACACACAGCAAGGCCACACAATCACATCACAGATGCCCACACACACACACACACACACAGAGGTCACCGACCTCAGACCTGAACACGGCCGCGCTCAACACACCTTTCTTTTCTTTTCTTTTCTTTTCTTTTCTTTTTTATTATTTTTAGCTTATAGTTGGTTTAATATTTTAATATATTTTTATATATATACTTTTTTTTTTTTTTTCTTTCTTATCTTTTCTTTTTTATTTTATTATTATTATTGTTTTGCTTATAGTTGGTTTAATATTTTAATATAGTTTCATATTTTTCCTTTTATTATTTTCTTTCTTTTCTTTTTCTTGTTCTTTTTCTTTTTTTTCAATTTAATTTTATTATTTTTAGGTTACATTTCATTTAATATTTAAATATTAATATTTTCCTTTTTTAATTTAATTTAATTTAATTATATTTTCTTGTCTTTTCTTTTAATTTAATTTAATTTGTTTATGTTTGGTTTAATATTTTAATATAGTTTAATATTTTGTTCATGATCTTTTTTTCTTTACTTTTACTTTTTTTACATTTCTTTTTATTTTATTTTACTGTTTTTTTTTTCTTTTTCTTTTTTTTCTTCTCTTTTTTTTTCCTTCTCTCCAGCTGTGCATGTTTGTCCAGGTTCATTTGATGTAATTAGAGGTCAATTAAAAGCTTTGGTGTCTTTGATCAGATGTGTGTGTGTGTGTGTGTGTCCATCTTTCACATCTTGAACTGATTTCTCAGTATAAACACTGAATTGTGCTCTTTTCTTTCTCTCTTGTCTCTTTGTTTCCTCTCATTCTTATATGAAGTTTGTTAGCGTTGAGTGTGTGTGATTGTTTGTGTGTTTGATCGGCTCCAGATGTGTTGTGCATGTGTGTGTTTTCTCCACCTGTCATTGTTCTTAACAGAATATTCTGCTTTCAATATGAGCCATAATGTCCATGTTTATCATGACATGCGTTTGATCATCATCACAGAGATTCATTTCAACTCATCCTTCAGTTTGTAGAAATGAACAGCGGCTGTAAAAGCACAAAGTGAAGCTTGTATTGTTGTTAAATCTGTGATTCCTAAACGTTCTGTCAGCCAAACTCCTTTGACTAATCTCTCTGAGATTTTAAATGACTATTTAATTAATTTAACAACACATTCACGTTCACAGTCTTTTTTTGTGTTTTATTTTGAATTTATTTTAATGTTGCGTTTATTTTACGTAATGTTTTTCATCTTTTTCAGTGTTTTTTTAGATTATTTTTATTTTTATTTTTTATTTAATATTTTTATGATTTAATTAGGTTGTCATCAACTCATTTTAAATGTTTTTTTTATTTTTTTAAATACTTATGTATTTTAATTTCACATTTTTAGAATTTAATTGTATTTTTAGCTCATTTTGATTGTTCTTATTTTAAAAATATTCATCAATTTATTTATTTTCATTTAACATTTTTATGATATAGTTATTAGCATTTCATCAACTAATTTTATTATTTATTTTTTTAAATGAACTTTTATTATATAATTATTAGCTTTTCATCAACTCACAACCCTAATGTAGGTAATGTAAGTTTACAGATTTACAAGTTAAAGGTCAAATATTTTTCATATGTTGAAATAGTTGTAATTTTAGTATCATGAGCAGAATAAAATTGTTCTGAAATCAAATGAAGATAATCTGACATTTGTGTGTGTGTGTGTGTGTGTGTGTGTGTGTGTGTAAAGTGTTTCCTGGCTGTATTGATATCTGACCTGAAACACACAGTCACAGGTGCTGTTGTAGGAGGCACTTGTCTTTGCACGGTTCTCCCTAATCAAGCCACAGGAAGCCGCTTCTCCTTCCTGAGGGAGTGTGAGTGTGAGTGTGTGTGCGTGTGTGTGTGTGTGTGCGCGCTCTTTCTGTGGTTCATGTGGAATAAATTAGTGTTTGATGGTAAAACCAGACCCCAGTGTGTGTGTGTGTGTGTGTGTGTGTGTGTGTGTCTCTCTCTCTCTCTCTCTCTCTCTCTCTTATTTGGAATTAAACAGAAGAGTGATGGTTAGTTTGTTAGTTTGTTGCGTGTTTATTTCACACATACATCAGTGTTGTATGTTCAGAAGCGTTTAAGTGTGTGTGTTTGTGTGTTGATCAGTCTGGATGTTAAACAGATAAAGTGTGTGTTCTCCTGCTTGTGTGTGTGTGTGTGTGTGCATAGCAACTGCCCAAAACACTTGAAATACCCTAGCAACTGCATAGCAACACCCTAAAACACTCACAAAAAAAAACTAGCAACTGCCCAAAACACTTGAAATACCCTAGCAACTGCATAGCAACAGCCTACAACACTCCAAAACACCCTAGCAACTGCTCAAAACACTCAAAATACCTTAGCAACTGCTAGAAATACCACTCGAAATAACCTAGCAACTGCCTTGCAACTGCCTAAAACATTTACAACAAACTAGTAACTGCATCGCAACAGTCTAAAACATTCACAATACCCTAACAATTGCATAGCAACAGTCTAAAAACACTCAGAACACCTTAGCAACTGCATAGCAACAGCCTAAAAACACTGAGAACAACCTGGCAACTGTACAGCAACAGCCTAAAACACTCAAAATCCTTAGCAACTCCATAGCAACTGTCTAAAACACTAAGAACAACTTGGCAACTGCTTGTCAACAGCCTAAACATTCAGAACACCTTAGTAACTGTACAGAACAGCCTAAAACATTGAAAAAAAACTAGAAACTGCTTAGCAATTGACTAAAGCACTCAGAACACCTTAGTAACAGTACAGAACAGCCTAAAACCCCTTCTTTCTCCCTTTCTCGCTCTCTCTCTTTCTTTCTCAGAAAAAAGGGGAACGAATGTTAGTTTGCTAGTTTGTTGAGTGTTTATTTCACACATGCATCAGCTGTTTTACGTTGTATGTTCAGGAGGAGTGTTTAAGTGTGTGTGTTTGGGTATTGGTCTTGATGTTGAACAGATTAAGTGTGCGTGTGTGTGTGTGTGTGTGTGTGTGTGTGTGTGTACTGCCGGTCAGTTCAGCACAGGTGCAGTGAGCGGGTCACACTGATGAGGTGCGAGGGGCGAGACCGTGTGTGTGTGTGTGTGTGTATGTGTGTGTGTGTATTGTGGCTTTCGTGACTGCTCTGGTTTCGCTCCATCTGCTCCTGATCTGCTGCAGTAAACAGACTCACTCCCGCAGCGTTTGAGCTCCAGACATGAATGATTCCTCACATCAAGTGTTGTTGAGGAGAATCTACTGCTATTTTACTAAGTGACCAGATGCACTATTTTTACCTGCTGAACAAGAAAACACCTGGAAACAAATCACACTGAAAGAGAGACCTGAGTCACATATACAGTCCAGAAGATCACTGAGACTATGTTCAGACCAGACAGGAAGAAAACACCTAGAAACCACACACAACACCCTAGCAACTGTATAGCAAACGGCCTAAAACACTCAAAACACCCTAGCAACTGCATAGCGACAGACTAAACACTCAGAACACCCTAGCAACTGCATAGCAACAGCCTAAAACACTTGGAATATCCTAGCAACTGCATAGCAGCCAACTAACACTCAAAACACCCTAGAAACTGCATAGTGACAGACTAAACACTCAGAACACCCTAGCAACTGCATAGCAACAGTTTAAAACACCCAAAACACTATAGCAACTGCATAGCAACAGTCTAAACATTTAGAGCACTCTAGCAACAGCCTTGACCACTTGCATTACCCTAGCAACTTCCTAAGAACATTCAGAACACCCTAGCAACTGCATAGCAACAATCTAAAAACCACTTTAAATACCTAGAGATGTGTGTGTTAACTGTGGACAGGTGCAGAAACGAACCAGCCAGAACAAAATCTCCATGTTATTAAACCCCCTAAAGTCACAGCCTGATCCCTTTCACAGACGTGTGTGTGTGTGTGTGTGTGTGTGTGTGTGTGTGAGGTGCTTAATGGGAAAGTAACGTCCTCCATCTGTGCTGGAGTCTCTTGTTCTCCATAAAACTCCTCAAACTCCACCCTTGAGCTCTGGAGATGTGATAAAATCTCAGTTGAGCTTCATTTGAGCTACAATTCCTTAGAAAAATTGTTTCTCATCAGAAACAACACAGTTTACATTTGCTCTGCATTTCCAGGAGTTCAGGAGAAACGTTTGAGACATTAGAGAAATCTAGACTGTGATTCTTGTGTTTTGAGGTGTATCTCTGAGGGTCGTTCTGTCCTCACACATCCGCTGTGTTTATCCCAGCTCCGTATTCCCATCCGGCATGTTCCCAGCGTTCCTGCTAGTCATTACAGCACAGTTTTCCAGACGGGAATGCTCTGCTGTTTGTGTGCTGATGTCATCACTGATCCATCGCAGCTGCTCGTCTCACATTTGCACTAAATTATTGTGTTGCAACACTTTGGGAACATGAACATTTTTTCCTGGGAAAGAGTTTCACCCTGTTTCCGTCTCGTGTCTGATGCATCTTCATGCACGGCATAAAAATATGCAGTGAAATACATGTTGAAAGCATGTTTTGTGTCATTAGTCGTCCTGATCATGGCGTGTTGTGTGTGTGTTTCAGGTATACGCCCCGTCCGCCAGCACTGCCGATTATAACCGGGACTCACCGGGTTACCCATCCTCTAAAGCACCGGGCAGCAGCTTTCCTGGTTCCTTCTTTATGCCAGGTAAACCACACACACCTGACAAAAACACTCTAAACAACCTAGCAACAGCCTAAAACGCTCAAAACACCTTAGCAACTGTCTAAAACACTCAAACACCCTAGATACTGCATAGCAACAACCTAAAACACTCAAAACACCTTAGCAACTGTCTAAAACACTCAAAACACTCTAGAAACTGCATAGCAACAACCTAAAATTCTCAGATCATCCTAGAAACTACATAGCAACAGCCTAAAACACTCAAAACACCTTAGCAACTGTCTAAAACACTCAGAACACCCTAGCATCTGCATAGCAACAACCTAAATTTCGCATATCATCCTAGAAACTACATAGCAACAGCCTAAAACACTCAAAACACCTTGGCAACTGTCTAAAACACTCAAAACACCCTAGATACTGCATAGCAACAACCTAAAACACTCAAAACACCTTAGCAACTTGCAGACCTTTCCCGATCCCATCCCCCCTCTCTCTCCCACTTCGCTTCCTGTCTCACTACTATCCTATCAATAAAAGGCAAAAAAAACCGCCAAAAATAAATCTAAAAAAAAAAACACCTTAGCAACTGTCTAAAACACTCAAAACACCCTAGAAACTGCATAGCAACAACCTAAAATTATCAGATCATCCTAGAAACTACATAGCAACAGCCTAAAACACTCAAAACACCTTGGCAACTGTCTAAAACACTCAAAACACCCTAGATACTGCATAGCAACAACCTAAAACACTCAAAACACCTTAGCAACAGCCTAAAACACTCAAAACACCCTAGATACTGCATAGCAACAACCTAAAACACTCAAAACACCTTAGCAACGCCTAAAACACTCAAAACACCCTAGCAACTGCATAGCAACAGCCTAAAACACTAGAACAGAACATCAACCAACATTCTGTGCATCAGCCAATGAGAATCAAGAATTCAAGACCTTTGCTTTTTTCATATGCTTTGTGTGTGTGTTTCATGTGTGATTTCAGACGGTCATCACAGTACAGACCCATGGAGCTCGTCCGGCGGTATGAACCAGCCCGGATACAACAGCATGCTGGGAAACTCCACACACAGCGCTCAGAGCAGCAGCTACTGCGGCATGCATCCACACGACAGACTCGTGAGCACATTTACTCGCTTCTGTTCAACTAGTTAAGATTAGTTCAGCAGCCTTTTGGGTTTGTAATGAAGGTGATCAATGCTCAACAGTTCAATATAGTCCAATACAGTCCAGGTAAGAGTGATGTCACTCGTTAGAAAGTCACATGATCAGCTATCAGCAGTCAAGTGACTGATCAACTATAGTGTTAGACACTTGCTATTGTTACTTGTTTTCAAACTCAAAGACAATGATACAGAACGCTGATTAATGTATTTAATTATAGATTTTTTTTAGCATATATATATATATATATATATATAATACAAATATAAATACTTCATAATGTAATATATGACGTATTCTTATTTTTATTTATTTTGTATTTTATTATTAGAATTTTAGAACAACTTAATTGTTTTGTTCTATTTATTTACAGTTTGTTTATTTATTTACTTGATTTCTTTATTTACTTCAGTTAATTTTTTTATGATCATACCTTTTTAATTCATTTCTTCTGGATTGGTTCGGGAGAGATTGAAACAATTATACAAATAATGCATTAAACAAAACAAATCAAAAAATATATAGGGGACTAAAATATAAATCCTCATTCAATCCTGGATATTTCATCTTTAATTAAGTTTTTGTTTTCTACTACCTTTCCTGATTGTAATACCTATATGGTCAATACCTTGTATTTTAGTAGTTTTTTGGGGGTATGATGAATTTCTAATAATTTTGATGATCAATATCAAGGTGTATAAACATATATGAACAATAAATCATACGATCTGTGTTTGAATGCAATGACCCTGTCTCATGTGTTCAATAACGCTCTTTCTGTCTGTGTTTTTCAGAGTTACCCGTCACACTCGTCAGCTGAGATCAACCCCAGTCTTCCTCCCATGTCCAGTTTCCATCGCAGCGGCGGGACGAATCACTACAGCGCGGCGTCCTGCTCCGCCACCACTAACGGGACAGACAGCGTCATGGGTGAGTCACTGCTGAATCAAAGCTGAGGGAAGATTTGATGCACTTCGATTCAGTCGCTCTCTCACGAAAGCAGAGGAGGAATATTAGGATAGGAAATGAGAAGGAGCTAAGGGAGCTACAGGAGATGAGGTTTAGCTCTTTCTAATCGGCTGATGAGCAGCACTGGTCATTCCTCCATCTGTCAGTTCGAAAATCAGCTTTGTCCATGACATGGACAAAATGTTTTTGTTTAAGTAAGTTTAAGTAAACATTAATTGTCCAAATCAGTGGTTCTCAACCTTTTAGGTGTCATTTATTTATTTATTCATTTGTTTGTTTGTTTTTGGTGTTATTCACCCATTTAGGTTTTTTTATTTTTTATTTACCAAAACTCAGAATTTCAATAAATTAAATTAAATTAAATTAAATTAAATTAGTATAATTATACTAAAATAATAAATTAAATTAAAATTAACACAGAATAAAATTTTGTAAAATCTTGTTCTTCAGGGTTCAATAATGAATTTATATGAAATTGTTATATTTTTTAAAAATATTTTTTAAAAATATTTTTTAAAAATATTTTTAGTTTAAGTAATAGTTTAAGTAAACATTAATTGTCTAAAGCAGTGGTTCTCAAACTTTTAGGTTTTATTTATTGTTTGTTTGTTTGTTTTTGGTGTTGTTCACCCATTTAGGTTTTTTATTTTCTATTTACCAAAACTCGAAATTAAATTAAATTAAATTAAATTATTAAAATAATAAATTAAATTAAAATCAAAATAATAAAATTTTGTAAACTCTTGTTCTTCAGGGTTCAATAATTAATTTACATGAAATTGTTATATTTAAAAAATATATTTTTTAAAAATACAATGACAAATTACAAATTTTCTCTGCAATTTCTACTCAATAAAATAACTTGACATAACTAGAAACATGTGTATTCGTTATAGAAATTTCCATGAGTTTTTGAGATTTTATTAATTTCCATTATTTTTCCAGGTCTAGAAATCTCACTTTTAAATATATCCAGGTTTTCCAAGACCATGAGAACCTTGGTTATTAAATAATAAAATTACAGGGAATTAATTAAAAATTATGATTTTTGATTGTTAGCCATCTTGTGGCTCCTTCGGTGGGTCCCGGCCTCCTGGTTGAGAACTACTGGTCTAAAGTGTTCATTTAAAGTCAGCACTTTAGTCTACATTTTATTTGAATGAACAGGAGTTGGAACTCTCTCTAATCTGTTGTGTTTCAGCGAATCGAACATCGAGCAGAGCGGCAAGCAGCTCACAGACGGGAGACGCGTTAGGAAAGGCTCTGGCTTCAGTGAGTCACCAGGTCTAATGCAGGCCCTGACAGATACAGCAATATACAGATACACGAATGATCTAAAACAACATGAAACTGCATTCACGGCACATTTAACTCCTCTAATTATGTTTTTCTGAGTTTTATGTGAGGAATTTTTTCTCTGATAAGCAAAGAAAACTTATGGAAGCTTGTTTCCGCCACGGGATAAAAAAAAATAAAAAAGGTAATTGTGAAATTTTTTCTCACAGTTCTGACTTTTTTCTCATAATTGCAAGACATAATCTTAGAATTGCAAAATATAACCTCAGAATTATATAAACTCGCAATTCTGAGAAGAAAAGCCAAAATTGTGAGATAAAAAGTTGCAATTACCTTTTTCATTTTTTATTCCATCCAAGATCCATCAAAATTGTGAGAAAAAAGTCAGAATTGTGAGATATGAACTCAAATTTTGATTAAAATAAAAGTCAGAATTATGATATATATACTCAAATTTAGAGAAAAAAGTCAGAATTATGATATAAACTCAAATTTAGAGAAAAAAGTCAGAATTATGATATAAACTCAAATTTAGAGAAAAAAGTCAGAATTATGAGATATAAAATCAAATTTAGAAAAAAGTCAGAATTATGATATAAACTCAAATTTAGAGAAAAAAGTCAGAATTATGAGATATAAACTCAAATTTTGAGGGGAAAAAAGTCTGAATTGTGAGATATAAACTCAAATTTTGAGGGAGAAAAAAAGTCCAAAATATGTGAGAAACTCAAATTTTGATTAAAATAAAAGTCAAAATTATGAGATATAAACTCAAATTTTGAGAAAAAAAAGTCAAAATTATTATATAAACTCAAATTTTGATTAAAATAAAATAATTATGAGATATACACTTAAATTTTGAGGGAAAAAAAGTCAGAATTGTGAGATATGAACTCAAATTTGGATTCAAATAAAAGTCAGAATTATGAGATATAAACTCAAATTTTGATTAAAATAAAAGTCAGAATTATGAGATATAAACTCAAATTTTGAGAAAGTTAGAATTATGAGATATAAACTCAAATTTTGAGAAAAAAACCTCAGAATTATGAGATATAAACTCAAATTTTGAAGAAAAAAAAGTCAGAATTGTTATAAACTTAAATTTTGATTAAAATAAAAGTCAGAATTATGAGATATAAATTCAAATTTGGATTAAAATAAAACTCAGAATTATTAGATACAAACTCAAATTTTGAGAAAAAAGTCAGAATTATGAGATATAAACTCAAATTTTTATTAAAATAAAAGTCAGAATTATGAGATATAAACTCAAATTTTGAGAAAAAAAAGTCAGAATTGTTATAAACTTAAATTTTGAGGAAAACAGTCAGAATTGAGATATAAACTCAAATTTTGATTAAAATAAAAGTCAGAATTATGAGATATAAACTCAAATTTGGATTAAAATAAGTCAGAATTATGAGATATAAACTCAAATTTTGAGAAAAAAGTCAAAATTGAGATATAAACTCAAATTTTGATTTAAAAAGTCAGAAATATGAGATATAAACTTACATTTTGAGAAAAATAGTCAGAATTGTGAGATATAAACTCAAATTTTGATAAGAAATTAAAATCAGAATTGTGAGATATGAACTCAAATTTTGATTAAAATTAAAGTCAGAATTGTGAGATATAAACTCATTGTGCATATTAAGACCAGAGACATTTATTAAAGAAGTAAATAGCTAAATGTGATTTCATGTTGCCTTTCAAAAATCATCTTAGCCAGCAAAATCATTGAGATGAATGTGGATTTATGGCAGTGATTCCTGTAGGGATGATGATGTTTCAGCCTGATGATGATGATGATGTGTGTGTGTTTGTTGTGCTTGTAGATCTATTCCCCCGATCACACCAATAACAGCTTCTCATCCAACCCGTCCACTCCTGTGGGATCTCCTCCCTCGCTCACAGGTAACACACGCGTGTGTGTGTGTGTGTGTGTGTCTGTGTGTCTGTGTGTGTGTGTGTGTGTGTGTGTGTGTGTGTTTAATCCCAAAAGAGTTTTATACACACACAGCTGTTTGCGCTGATGTCAGTCACCTGATTACTCTGCTTACTGCAATGTTATTTACAAAGAGTATATGCCACCAGGTTTATTAAACTAAAATTAAAACCTTTAAGAAGCATTTTTGTTACTTAAAATAATATAAAATATATTTTTAAGTATTTTATTTCAGCTAGTTTAAATAACGTCTCGGTTACGTATGGTAACCCTCGTTCCCTGAAGGAGGGAACGGAGACGTCACGTCGGATGACCGACGAAATTGGGATCTCGCTTAGAGAGACCAATCCACTTCGAGTGTAAACTAAACGAGCCAATGCAAATGTGCATTGGCTCGTTTAGTTTACACTCGAAGTGGATTGGTCTCTCTAAGCGAGATCCCAATTTCGTCGGTCATCCGACGTGACGTCGAGAGTGACCGACTGAAAGGGAACTAAAACTACAACTCAAATAAAAATGTATAAAAAAGGTCAAAAACACAACAAAATTACTTTAATTTTAACAAAAAAAATACAATGAAATTAGATAATAAAAAAGCAAACTAATTCAAACTAAAACTAATATAATAATATATAATATAATAATAAAATCTAAAATACTATTGTAATGACACTAAAATAACAGTGGTAGTCACATGATTTCATGCTTAATTCCAGTTATCTTGGAAATACTGAAAAATTAATACTTTTTCAGTCTGATAAGTACATCATGCTGGAAATGAAAGGTCAAGTCTGAAATAAAATGTTTATTTTACTTTATTTATATTTTATTTCAGCTAGTTGCCAAGGAAATATTTCTTGTACTGAAATAAATTTATTAAACTGAAATAATTTTAATAAAATGTAAAAACTTTACAATTTTAAAAAGATTTTTAAAAAAATTTAAATATTTTTTTTAATTAACTAAAATTAAAAAGAAAACATAAAGAAAGAAAATATAAAATCGAAAACTAATTCAAAAAAAGTATAATACTATCATAATGATGCTGAAATATTGCTGGTTGTCACATGACCTCATGCTTAATAACAGTTATCTTGGAAATAAACATAATTTTTAAATAAATAAATAAACAAACAAACAAACAGCTTTCGTCAGTCCGATAAATGTGTCACACTGGAAATGAAAGTCCAAATCAAGTGCAGTGCATTGTGGGCTAACGTGTGTTTTGGTTGTATTCGGCACATTTTAGCAAAATATAGTATTTTATTTAGGTCATTTGGATATTTTATGTAGAGTTATTATAGTCAACTAAAACTAAAGCCATAAAAAATACATTTTTGTTACTTGAAATAAAATAAACGTTAACTTAAATAATATAAAATATTTTAAAAATGTAAAATAAAAAATATATTTTATTTTAGCTAGTTGCCAAGGCAACCTTTTTTCATTTTTATTTAGCTTAACTTAAATAATAATAAATAAATAATAAAATTAATAAAAACTATGTAGCCATTAAAAAAACTAATAAAAATTACAAAAACAAAACAAAATTAATAAAACTTTAACTGAAATGAAAATAGAAAAATATTAATAAAGACAGTATGTCAATGATGTTAAAATAGCTGATTTTATGCATATAAAACACGTTGCTGATTATATATTCTGTGCACTGTTCGGTAGAAGCCATTGATTTCAAGTTGAAATATTATTTTTATACGTTTCATTCTTCATATTCGGTTCAAACTCTGAAACGCACTTCATCTCAAAGCCTGATTAACGAGTCATTATTCGCGTCGCCATGGAAACAACCGCCTAATTGTTATTTTTCCAAGTGCCAGAGTTATTAGACCGACAACCATTAAATACACTACTGCAAATTAATATTTAAACTTAAAACATGCGAGGGAAGTTTAAGTAACTGATTTAATAATTTTCTCATTGGCGGCGGCGCGGTTGCATGCAAAATTTATTCGTACATGAATGTGGCTGTAATTATGTGCTAATTAGCATTGGGAAATGAGGTTTAATAATACAGGGACGCGTCTGAAATGCATGTTTCTGTAAAGAAGTACGATTTGAAAAAACACAACATAATTAGACGCGACTTGCGTAATGAGCGGATGGCGCAAACGCAAACAGATGAAGGTCAAAACGAGCGTCGCGCCTCTCTAATTACCGGTGTGAAAGAATAACGAGGTGTTATTAGCAAGAGGGTCGTCACCTATCAAAGGAAGGGTCACCAGCTGATGATCTCCACTGCTCTACATCAAGAAAACTGGACTACAAAGACAAGACGGGGTTATTTATTCCACTGGAGTGAATGACGGCTAATTGGGTCGGTTTGAGTGTCGGATCAACGGGAAAATACGGCTTTATAGGATACGAGGGGAATGTTTTAGCATTAGGCCTAAAGCAAGGATCTCACATCAAAGACTTGAGCGCATAAATAAGGAGTAAACATGATCAGACTCTTGAAAACAAAAGCAAAACCATTATGTTCATGAGGCTTGAAGTGAAATAAAATAAAACTGAAATAAAATAGAATATTAAAAAATTAAACCGTATTTTATTTCAGCTAGTTGCCAAGGCAACATTTCTTCTCATTTTCAGTTAAAATTATAAATAAAATTAAAATTAAACTATACACACTTATCCAAAAAAAAACTAATAAAAATGACAATTTTCAAATTAAAGTGAAAACAGAAAATATAATTTAATTAATATTTTGAATCAGTTTTTATTTTTATATTTTCCATTTTTAGTCATTTTCAAGTTTTAATAATTGTGTTGTGTTTTGTCATTTTTAAATATGTCTACATAGTTTTGGGTATTTTTATTCATTCATTTTATTTATTTATTTTTATTGATTATTTATTAAACCAAAAATTTTTATTAGTTATATATATATATATATTTTTTTTTTTTTTTTTTTTTTTTTTTTCGTTTTAGTTTTAGTTATTTCGTTTTATTTTGTTTTAGTTTTAGTTATCTTGGTACATTAAGTTAAACAAAACAACTACAGTAGCTGAAATAAAAAGTTTTTAATATTTTTTTTATTTCAGTTAATGTTTATTTTATTTCAAGCAACAAAAATGTTTAATGTAAATGTTCAATTTTAGTTTTAGTTAACTATAATAACCCTGTCCCAATGATACTGAAATAACACTGTAACCAAGACCTATTATAAACTATTAATATAAACCTTAATTAATCACAGTCATTTGCTAATTTTACACATGCTGAATAGTAAAAACACTGAAATTATATTATAGTTAACTAAAACTAAAACCATAAAAAAATGTTAATTGAAATAAAATAAGAAGTTGCCTGGGAATAAAACAAAAACACAACAAAATGATTAAAGCTGTAACTAAAAATAAAGTGAAAACGCAAAATATAAAAATAAACCTAATTCAAAATATTAATAGCACAATATGTAATTTTTTGCCACTAGAGGGCGCGTATTCAAAATAAACAAATAGACAAAGGCGTAGTTTGATGACGCTGTGACTGAGTGTGGAATCATGGGAGTTGTGGTCTTCATCCCCACAGCCGATGCAATCCGACGGGACTCGGGCAGAAATCATGATCATGGATGAGCTAATGATTTATTAACATAGTAGAATGAAGCAGGGTGAGGCTGAAAGCCATCGAAGCGAAACGAGGCC